AATGGGGATGATGACAGGGTATGAAAATTAAAAATATAATTAGTCCGTAACTTAGGTAATAAAAAAATATTAGACACGTATTTTTTTATTTTGTTGTATAATAAAACAATACTTAGATAAAACGAATCAAAGTTTAGGAGTGGGGGTTAAAACGTCATTCCTTAGTATAAAATGTACTGAGAAGTGACGTCACGCGACATTTCAAATCAATATATCTTCGAAACTATTCGTTTCCGTAAGAAAATAAAAAATACGTGTCTAATGTTTTTAAATAATCTACCAGACGGACATTAAAATAAAAATTAGTCGTCTACCCCATTATTATATTAGACTTCTCAACCCATCCTTAAGTACACTACCTACTACTTGTTGCTCTAGTCAAAGCGACTTATTCCATGGTTTGAAAAAAATATAATTTAAGCTGATATTTCTTCTTCACTGTACAATTTCGTAAACAATCGCCATTTAATTTATAGATTAGATACCTATAATAAAATAATGATCTTGCGAAATCTTAGAATACATAACTATGCTTTGCATATTATTGTAAAAAATATTTAGGTACATAAACATAACTCTTACGTGTTTTCAATAAATATGTACCTAACCTAAGTACGCATGCACTGAAGGCAGTGATAATATCTACGAAAATAGGCATGTTCCTACCACAATTGATGTAGATGGGCCTGTTACCTCCCTGTTTTGTGTCTAGTCCTTTACCGCCGTACTCAAAGTTATTTAATGGCTACTAAACCCAGTCCAGGAACTCAATGGTCTATTGGATACAAAGGGTATGTCTTTTCCAGATGTCGCCTACATCGGTTCACTGAATTCAGAACACTATGAACTGTCAATGCTGTTCCTCCAACATGGCAAGCACGTGCTCTGTGAGAAACCGTTTTGTCTGAATGCCAAACAAACGCGCAGTGTTATCAACTTTGCGAGGAAAAACAATCTGTTTGTGATGGAAGCTGTGTGGACCCGATTCTCTCCAGCATATGCAGACTTGGAGAAAGACATCCAGAATGGAAAACTTGGCGATGTCCTGTTCATTGAAGCTGATTTTGGAATTGTCAGTCCAAACGATAGGAGTACGCAGTAAGTAGTGAAATTGGAACATGCATAATTAGGTCGTCAGACGCTTTTTTTAAGTATCTATTAGTCATTTAGGTAGCTGCGCAGTGTTTAAATTATAATTCACTACGCAATAAACCGTTATACACCTAAGTGCAGGTAGCATGCGCGTGACCCTTGCTGACATTTCTACTTACATACCTAGTTACCTATATTCAACCAAAAATTATAACTTAGGTATGGTTAGAGCTCGTATAGGCTTTATCATGGAGTTAGACAAAGTATGAGTTATACTGACACTTTGGATAGGATCTGAGTCCCAAGATGATGAAACTGAGGACAATATTAGCCACCTAGATGCCTACATATTAAACCTCAGAATACCCCTTGGGGAAAGGGAAATCCAAGTACGATACTATGTCATAGAATTGTAGGTACATAACCACCTATTCGCATTCACTATGCCGTTTAATTCAATCAGCCAATGTAACAAAACAATTTCACAATAGTAAGCCTTATGTAATCACTTAGCTGTACGCTAATTTTCACATTTGCCATACATATACATAATAATTGACATTGTTAACTTCTTTATGACTTGACGCCTTTGTTAAAATATTTCCATTCAGTATAAAGTAACGAATCAATCACTGTCTAGTTGTATAATTATGTAACGTCATGGAGGTTATAAACTAAGTCTTTATGTCACCAATCTGCGTATATTTACAAAAGTTTATTATAAAATAATTTACTTCACGAAGTACTTTCACATGAGACTGAACAATGGAAACGTTTACAAAATAAATAACGGCTAATTGGAATTTATTTTCACGTTTTGTTTACTACAACCACCACGTTTTGTTATACGGACAGTGCTACTACAATTACTTCACCCATCAAATACATCATCATTACATATTATTTTATATGTCAGTAATTATACTGACATAATGACGTCACAATTGCAGTATAAAAGAATTCGGAGGAGGCGCTATGTTAGATGTTGGTGTGTATGTACTCCAACTGCCACAGTTTGTATGGAAGGAAGAACCAAAGAAGGTGACAACAGTCGGTAGCCTCTACGACTCCGGAGTGGATTTGACAGAGACTATCATCCTAGAATATGAAGGTGGCAGGCGAGCTGTGCTCAATATTCATACTCAACTGGAGATGTGGAATAAAGCGACTATTTACGGCACAAAGGGGCATGTTACGGTAAGAAGAGAATTGATCATTTACATAAATAATTAGGTACCTAATATTAGTAAGATTTAGCACTGTACATCTAGCCTTCGTTAGTTGTGGAGGTGTTCAATATGTTCAGCCTCATTATTGTCACTCCAATATTAAAAAAAAACTAAGCCTAGTACCACTGTGGTTCCCAATATGTATGTTTTTTATATTTTTCATTTCAGTTGGAGCAGCCTTTCCATTTTCCTCACAAAGTGATTGATAAAGATGGCAAAATTAAGAATTATGAATTACATTCTTCGAACCTTCCGTACAACTTCACAAATAGTCCCGGATTGGTCTACCAGGCTCTAGAAGTTGCTAGATGTATTAAAGCAGGTAACTTAACTGACTTTACAATTTTCTATCATAACATAGTGTTTTGAAAAGCTGATAATAATGTGAATCTGCTTGAAGTAGGATGCAGGATTCAGTTGCCTGTAATATGGCAGGAATGGTTACAGAATCTATTGACTAAAATGAAACTTAGGTAGAGGACTAATCCCGTTTTTGTTCACTATCCAGTCAATTCAATGAAAGTAGCTGCAGTTTCCTAGTGTATGTATCTTATAAAGGTACAAAATACACATCTATTGAAGATGAATCCTACAACAAATCCTACTGAAAATGGCGGTACTTCGACTGTTCATGTTGTCCTTGATCCTGGGCCTCTAAAATCAAATCGATAAATTATTTAACATAGATACAGATTGTGTGATAATCTTCTTACACAAGGTAATATGGCGATGAATGTAGCGATATCATAAAACAGGTATCCAATACAAATAGATAAGAGTAATTACCAAAGTCACGAATCATGTTGATTACAACACCCTATGACATCGATGACACCTTACATACATAATGTAAGGTATTTTTTCTTCTTTATTTAGTAAAGGGTTTTTATCCACATGGATATGTTAACCCTATTGTAACTTATACTCTATTTTCATGAAATTATTAAACACCTATTATTAACACTTATCGTAGGTACTTAACACTATGCCTATGCCTATACGAAGGGGAATTACTGCCTAGAACTGTTCATTAGGGTAGAAATAATGCATTTAGACATGTTTGATTTAGGGTGAGCTAAAATATTTTGCATAAGTCCAACATCCCACAAGTTTATAATATAAGGTGTCATCGACGTTTTTACCATTATATTTTTACCTGATCATGACTAGGTATGTGTAGGTAATCTAGCTTTCCTATATTTTTATCTGACGTATATTGCACAACTTCATAAAAGTATTTACCTATATTTTTATTGACCTCTTATCGTAAGTATTAATGCATAAATGATAAACATCAAACGCATGGATCAAACACTATAATCATAAGAGTCGATAAACAAAAATGTTGGCCGACCATAAGTTTAATCCTTTAATTCGTAGGCTTTGACATGATAAACACGTTAGTAAAGTATCTATCCGCGGAGAACCTAACGGGTTACCGGGGCTCCGGCTCGAAGTGCAGGTGTAGGAACGGGGTGGTTTTTAGTCAGACAGATAGGTACCTATTAAATTATTTAATTCGTCTCGTAGGTAGATACATAATACAGCATTTAGTTATCCATTAAAACTATCACAAAAATTTTCCTGGTGATTATTTGATATGCCTATTGCCTAGTACCTACTTATTGATAGGTACTCTTGTCTTAGCGATTGGTAAAGTTATTCTTCTTTGGCGTAGATTTATATTGGTTAACATACTTATATGCATTTTATATGCAGGTAGGTAATAAGAACGGTACGACTTAATTAATTCAACGTAGTAACGAGAAACAAATTCATGGTTGAATAATGAATTAATAATATCAAAAATAACTTGGATAATTGATATATGCACCGTGAAAGCACGTAGGTATATCATGCACACAATGGAATGTAGTTAGCATTAAAGATAAGACCTTTACTTCATCAAAATCTCATTAAATATCTAATAATTAATCACGTAGTGATTTCTTACCTGTTGTGAAGACCGTATTGTGACTTTAATGGCACCTACTTTTTATCAATGTCCCATATATCTGTAAGAATAGCTACTCTACATACTTAGTACCTACCTAATTAATACATATTATAAATACAATTTATGTTTTTGTTTGTCTTTCTTTCACGCCACGCGAGTGAGTACACTCAAGGACTTTGGTACCGATCATTTTTAGGGTAGATAACGTATGCTTTTGATCTGTTGATGTAGTTATGGATTGAATAGTGGTTTGGGTTACATTTTCTTTGACTTATAGTAGATTATCGAATTGTAACCTACGTGTAAGTACGACAGCTACTCATCATCTTATAACGTTTACTATCACCTAATGAAATACATTTTTCAGGACTTATCGAATCTCCTCGTATGACACATCAGGAAAGCATCAACTTAGCAGTCCTTGAAGACACTGTGCGAAAACAATTGGGCGTCCACTTCGAGGCTGATGACAAGGAATACCCCTGAAGTTCTTCGCAAATAGGAAATTAGACCCTAATCATAAGTACGAAATATTAAAGCCAGCAAGTATGCTGGCTTGGCTTGGCTAGTATTTATGTAGAAATAAGTTATACTGTTACATAATGCACGAATTTAAATGGGTCTCACCTGCGTATGTAGAATGCGTATGCGTATAATGCGTATGTAGAATGCGGGCTATAAAATGTACAAAGTTCACATATTGTTTTGTTCGAAATACATTATCTTGAAAGTAGTTCTTTATTTCTTGTCTCGTTTATTGTCTATTAATAATATAATTTTGTTTATTAATAATGTTACTTTTGTACATTAAAATTCTGTTAAATGAAGTATTTTTATTTAAATACGGCTACTGACGCCATCTAGGTAACCTTAACGCAATCATCCAAGGTGATACAACTGTAGTAAAGAATGAAGTAAAGCGTTACGGAAGAAATCTGACAGATGGCGTTAATGGTTCCGTAAGCAAACGAAACGTTTGTTGTGACAATTTTTACCTTCTACATAATAATATGGTTTTTAATCACATATTAAGATAGATAATTCCTTTTGAAATTTTTGCATTGGAACAGTGAAAAGATGGAAAGATGAATGAAACATGTTAGAGTTCGCAAGGCGCAAGGCTACGCGCCTTACAGCGTAGCTTTGCGTAGCCAAATTCGTCTACTTATTTTTTTTTTATGAAACAATCAAACGTCACAAGACATCTCATCGTTTATAGATAATTATGCTTTTTAAGGTAAATTGACTATAGGCAGGTATTATATGCCAAAGTTATTATAGTAGAGCTCAAACTATTAGACAGACTACAATCGATCTTAATAGGACTTATGAAGTTGGTGCAGCTAACACATTAGTTACCGATATACTTATTTAGGTACTCTTTGGCACATAATATTTGAAATGTAACCGCTCAGACTGTCACATTGGTTAGATACATAGTAGTGTCTGTCGCGAGGTTCTATGTTTTCGTTAGGCGCGTTGCTAATTTTTAAAAATAGGAATTAAAATAATAATTTAAGTATCTAAATGTAACTTAATTTTTTTTATTTTATCTCATTTTATATTTAATCTCATTTTCATTCCAGAGATAGACACTGTTTAACTATGTCTAGGTATTCGAAACCTAGCGATAATAGGGTTTCGTGTTTACTTTTTTACTCTTGTCCATTTGCTTCAAGCTAAGTAAAGAGAATGCTCATCAATATTTCATGACACAGCATGAAGTTTTCTCGTGCTCTTCCTCAACTATTAAATGTTTCCTTGAACGCCATCTAATCAATCTAATTGCGGTGCGAAACTTTCTCTGTGTTGTTTGCAAGTAACAATGGCTGCCGTGCATTAGATACGAAGGGACGGAAGAGCAGTCGCGTGACAGACCGAGGCGCATCGGCGCGCCTCATGACACCGTGTCACTCCGCGTGACTATTTTCATACTTCCCTTGTTGTCTAATAAGGACTAAATGCTTGTTACGGAGAAAACTGACGCACACGCAACTATTATAGTATAGAGCTGTTCTGCTGTTCATTAAAACAAAAGATGAGATTATCATTTCCTCCGTCATACCTGCAAATGAGTCTCCACGCTCTACTTACACTTGGTTGTAAAAATAAATTGTCAAAATAAAAATGGACGTTTATTAAGAACAATATAGAGATCACAAATTATTGTCATTTCTGTTTCAGTTCCCCCTTTTCACATTTGGCTTTAGTTAATCTACGCCACGATAGATGGCGATGCGTATTTATATCGTAGTATGAAACACATTCATGCAGTTATTGTCTATTTTAATCCCAAAATAAAGTTCAATATAATCAGTACAATAGTACTCACAATATTAAAAAAAAATATTGCCATATATGTACCTATACTCGGAATTTTAATTCGATTCCAGATTTGACAATTTCAGTGTTGCAACGTTATAACAAGTACTAAATAGTGACGTTGCGAAATTATTCGATATGGAAATGCAATATTTCTGGATCGATTCTTCTTGTTTATAATTTTACTCTTGTAAACTAAGTATATCAGGAAATTAAATATTTCTGAACCGATCATTTAGTTTTGACGATTAATTAACGATCTGAGACTTTTCCTTTATAATTGTGTGTGAAATAAATAAAAAAATGTAATCATAAAGGAACATGACAAATAAAACAGATAGATGTATTATGATAATAAGTTATTTTATAAATTTTCGCCGTCATCGCTGTCGCTATCCTGTCCCTTTCTGTAAAACATTTATTATAAAACACACACACTGATTGTTTATCGATTTTTGTGTTCATCACTACACTATTATATGTGGTATCATTATTTCACAAAATGACAGTAGCTATTGTCAAATCTGGAATCTAATTAAAATTCTGACTATAGTACATATTATTATAATTATATGCCAACATACTAGCTTACTGAGCCCAACATGGTTGGAAAAATGCCAAGAAAAATAAACTAGGTAATTATTCATGCAAGTAGGTTAGTTGTCTACTTGCCTACCTGTATATAATATAATGTATCATCACGGATCTCGGTTAGTACCTAAATACACCTCCTCTTCAGAAGCGTAGGTAATTAGATGTATTAAGTATGTTATGTTTATTAGCTCCGTATTCAGTAGGATACAAACAAATAACACAGCCTCCGCAAACTTTTCCGCTTCTTAAAATTCTTGAATGTTCTTACCACATTGTACTTATGTTAGGTATGTGCAGCTGTGCATCACATTACTGCGTAGTAAGACCATGCATCATGTAAGGTACTACGTTTTCCTAACCGCAGAGGCCACAGCTTTAAATTACAGTTAGGCTAATGTTTGCACAGGCACACGTGTCGTCACATTATCTTGAGGCAGCTCCCTTCTCGCCTTACAGCATCACAGGACGGGACGCGGCTTATCAACGTGATGAAACGACTTGTTTGTCTGATAACTTGATAACACGGGGATAACGCTAATGAATGAGTGTCAACGACTTCTACCTTTGTTACCGGTGAAAAGCACGTGTAAACTCTACGTGAGGTAGCGGGGCTTTGGAACAAAGAAAATTTGGTACATGAATGAGACGAAAAGTGATAAGACCATAATGTACCTGTACAATGGGTTTCGAAATATTTCTTCTTACAAAACGTACGCTGACGCTTTGGTTTTGTTAACCAACAGTTTAGAAAATAAATATATTTTTTTAAGAAATCTAAGTATTACCTGGGCAAGACAAAAGATAAACCGCACTGTGCATGTCCGCTTTTTCATTATACATTTTTGAAAGGCACGTTTATCAGTCAGTTTCAGTTTTTCCGAGGAATGCCATTTGTCACAGCTGTTACATTAAGGGTTTCGGAATGCGACTGTATTCCTGCAACTTATGGACCGTTGCCCTTCTCCACGGACCCCGAGCAAGGACGCCCTATTAGTTTGTATGGACACAGGGGACCTATCCCTTTATTAAGATTACGTACGGTCGGACCTCTGTTACCCCCACGTCCGTGACCGGCCCCACAATTATTTGCGGACAGTGATATTGTTCAGGATATGTGAAAATAAAATGTTTATGTGATTTCAGGGAAAAGACGAATGAGTGTCCCTCCATGCACTATATATGCTTAGAATTTAAATATTTATGTCTTTACGCCCGTACATAGTAGGTAGTCTATTTAAAACTTTGTTTTTAAATTTCAAAATAAATCGTAACAAAGGATCAAAGAATAACATCCAAATTAACTCAGGAATATTCTTAAGAATAGCTACAACTACGAATTAATGTCGGCCGTGGAAATTGGACAGAATAGGTTCAAAATCGAGATCGTTTATTGTTGAATGAATTGCCAAATAAAGGTCTTTTTTTGGTTTTAAAAACATAGTCAAGGCAAGGCTCCAATATCTTCGATTACTCACAGTATTTTTTTGCCGTGGCATGATTGATATCCTGGAGGCACGCAGGACCCATCACAGATTGCCACGCATCATTAGACTAGTACGGCTAATCGCCGGCGCTGCGTGCACGCATCACGCTCCGTCAACCTCAGGCTTATTATTGAACTAACAAGTATCAGGTTTGTTCCACCATTGTTTTGTAACGGCGACATCAGTCCGCCATCGTTGCTTAAACAGTAATGGATGATGAGATTACGTAGCTTCGTTGTAGGGTCTTATGAAGGTGAAATATATCTCTTCTACTGCACTGTGTCCTAGGGAAACTATAACTGTTTTGAATCCCATAATTTAACATGTATTATATTGCATTGGGCCTTAACATTAATGTTTTTATAAAAACTATCGTGAGACATACTAAAATAACTAAAATCGCGGGTTACTCACGCGAATATACTGATACTGATATTAATGTTAATTTTGTAATCATGAATCTTTCACAGCTGGATTTTTTAAGAATATTTTGTATATGATCTACTTTCGAGTCTTCCTTCTTTATTACAAATTGCTTTTACTACATAGGTAAGGAGGAGATTATTATAATATTATATTCTTACCTTTATAATTACCGAAAGGATAAAAGGACCTTTATGTCCATCATTTGTATAACAAAAGGTATTCCATTAGCTTTATAATATTGTATTTACTGAGAATACGTATAAAGAAAATGAAAGTAATGGGTTACGTCGGTTTTATGTCCTTTGATATTAATATCTAGACTATTTTATTCAGAAAAAGTTTCAATAAGTAAATCGTATGTATGAAATACAATCTCGTTTAGTTTGTTAACCTTACGTTACTTTACCTGAAAGCCTTTTTGGTTCTATCAAATGAGGTCAATATAATCATATACAATGACTATGTACGAAAATATCATTTACTTATTTCGTTATTGATATCATTCGTGGCTGGTCCCATTATAGTATTTATCTCATTACGTTACTTATTGGGTTAACCAGACATTAAGTTTATAGATTGCATTCAAGATTTTCTATTCATCGGAATTGAGAACAAAGATATAAATAATTGACATTCTTACTTTTGATATGGTTACTTATACTTACTTATAAGAAAGATCCAAGTTAACAATGATCATAAGCCATACAATATTGGCCAGGGGAGTGCAACTAAAAGGGTTCCCGTGTTATGTATAAAGTAATGGCGTAAACCAGGGGAATAATATCCACGGGTTTAATATTAAATATATTCCGCATGGTAAAATTTTGGAACTTATTTTTGGTATAGAGACCATAGCCGTAGATATTTCAAGGGCTTTACATTTTACAAAGATAGGGTTTTAAATTAATTAAAGAGTACGGCATTAGCCAAGGCTTCACCAAAATTTTAAATTGTGCAAAAGTTTTTAAAGAAATCCTTTGCCACAGAATATAATTTTGGCATTACAAAAAACAGTTCTTAAATA